TGGATTTTATTTAAATAAGGCTGGATTGCAAATACTCTTCCGTACATTCGCATAAGGAAAGAAACATTGTTTTTAGCGAATATTTTAGTAATCCTTTTAAACGAAACGTTAACATGTGTACTATTTGAGTCACAAAGAGTTTATCAAGATACGAAACGTAATATTTAAAAAATTATACGTCGTTAATGTTACGTAGAAGATAAAACGCCTAAGAGCTTATAATACGAGACGATTTTAAAAGTAAGAAAACAATACTTGAGGATGAATCGAAAGTTTATGGAAATAAAATTGGAGCCGTATAATTAAAACCTGCATATTATTCCCCAGTTTACTGTTATATCTTTCATTAAACATGTTCTAAGAACAGTTACACGATTATCGATACGACTCATGAACAATATAATACATGTTTTTTCGCACTTTCTTTTCAAAACTGCATTAATGTTATGCATCAATCTTTCTCGAGTATAATTTATCATGCACGCTATTTCTTCAGCGCTAAATATGTAAATTATCTGATTGATAGTTATCATTATTCGAATTTGAATATTTTTTTTCAACATTAAATGAAAATAGTTGCCAAAATGGGCACCCGAAGAGGTTTTTGTTGCTGTATGTTATTGTGTATTCCTACAAGAGAACTTTAATTTGAAACTAACTTCTACTTAGTAAAAAGAATGCCGTAGTTCGACTGTATCGAAAGAATGTAGCTATGTTAAATAGAATATCCTTTTCTTTATCAAGTTACTTTGCATTATTATTTAATTATGTAAAAAAAAGTAATACGCAAAAACTTGCAACTTTCCTTAAAGTAAATGTGCAATACTCTCAGTCCGTTGTACTTTTAAAAATTCAGACCTTCAATACGCGCACGTAATCTGCTTTAAATTCTGTTTGAAACTCTGAATAAATTAGAGGCTCCTATAGATTAAAAGTAATCGACAAATTGATTGACCCGCTTATCATAGAAATTGCTTAATAACGTAACTACTACTTACAATTACATGTACAATTGTGCAATAAATATTTGTCATTTCCCTGTTTGAATACATCGCATTATTTTTATTGTTGTATAATAATAATAATTAATTGTGTAGCTCTTACAGATTCTTTTCTTAGGGTTCCCTCTAATTCTTCATGTGTCATTTATTAAAATATCGTTTTATTGCAGCTCTTCCGAGATACCAGAATTCGACCCGCAGCCTTCGCGCAGTTATAAATTGTTTTCTTCTTGCAGGTTGATGCGGATTATTGTAATACCAGCAGTTAAATAGAATCAAATAAAGCTAATCTTTGTTTTACAAGGACATATTATACGGAATGTTAACAAATTTTATTAGTTAAACGTGATGCACAGAACTCTTCTTTTTGGTGAAGGCACCTGAGAAATCAGTTTACTGTACTTGTAAATATTAATTTACTTTTTATATATTACAGATGTTATTAAATATTGTAAAAGATAGTAAGAAGATAGTATTAAACCTTTCTCCTGGTTAACTGTTACATGATTTAAAAAGTGTTGCGATTCATCGATCTCTTCCTTCTAATTATTTTATTAAATTATATTAACTGTTTCTTTTAGCAATGGTTTTGCAAGAAAGCGATATGTTTATGGATGCTTTGACCGCGTCGACGAAAAGTAAAGAACCGAGGAAAAGAAAACGGAGGACGTCCATCACGAAAGATGGTCCCACGGAAGTTAAGAAACAAGAAACTGCCAGTAGTAATAATCGCGATGTCACAACACCACCCACCTCACCGACAAGTGCCGATGAAAAATCACCCGTAGTTATCAAGCCTAACTTTAAGTTTTATCAAGATACGCTAGAAACGGAGGAAGATAAGGAACAGAAAGAGAGGGAAAATTCGGAGGACGACGCGAAGAAGGAAAAGGAAGAGGCGACGGACGATCAGAAGGAGAACAGAATATACAAAGCGGAGATCGATGACGATACCGGAAGTAACAGTGAGTTATTTGAAATTTTGTTTATTGATATGATCTTTAAATAAAATGTTTATTTTATCTGTACGAATGGGAAAATATTTTATTCTAGCACCTACACCGGAAGAAGACGTGGATGAAAAGGCTTCGGATTCTCCGGAAGATACTTCCTCCGATTCGACGAAGAAGGATTCCGTTGGTCCTTACCCGGAAATACGATACGTCGATGGACTGCGGAGCGTTTTGCTACTTCAGAAACGCAAAGGCGCGAAGAAAGTATTGAAATGGAAAACGGATCTGGAATCGGTGCGCTACTTCGAGTTAGACGAAACGGAAAGGGTGAACGTTACGAAAACGTTTACCGACATGAAACAAATGGAGAAGCAAAACGAGAGGGAAGCATTCCAAATGGCCAGGAAATTAAGTAAGTCCTTAAGAAGACATTACGTTACGCTGATTCGAGTATGAATAATTAAATTGAATCAATTATTGCTACTATTTGGTTTCGTAGGTAACGAGGATTTAATGGAAGAGAGGACGAGATGGAAAGCTCTAATTCCGATCGATTTACCGCCGCCTTTAGTGGAGCCTGGAAAAGACAGCAGAGAGAAGGATATTCAGTACGCTCGGGAGAAAGGAATTTTACAAGCATTATACTTCAACCGCAGCATGTACGTATACACTTTTTTTACTAAATAACATCGAACATTATATGCCGTGCAGCGCGCGAGCAGTAGGTATGTGCAATAGATATATAATATGTTCGTACGAAAAAAAGAAAACTTGGATAGTATATTTATTTAAAATAGTATTTTATTGCATATAAATTTGATCGGTAACGGAATATTTCATTTCATACAGGATACCAGACTCGGCGGCAGAACCAGACGAAGAACGTCACCATATATTTAGTGAACCTAAAATCATTCCCTTGGAAGATCTCACTGGAAACAAGGAAAGTGAAAAGGACTTCACTTCTATGCCATGGCCGGAACCGAAACCACAGTTACAACCCCAAACGCCACCAGTTACGAACTTCCATTATCCAACGTTCAATCAGCAGCCAGTCATGGCGTCTATGGGACCTCAGACTTCGATGGGACCGATGCCCCAAATGTCTCAGCAAATGATGGGGCCCACTCATATGGGTCCTATGGCTTCCGAGATGGGAGGCCCGATGCCTACTACCGCGGGAGGTGGCTGGAGAACCGGGGACGGAAAAGTAGTCGTACCCGACGCAATGAGTATAAACCCGATGGGTAATATACCGAACGCGTTCCCACCAGGAATGGAAGGTGGCCCGATGGTGCCACCCGGAATGATGGGACCACCGCCGATGTTCAATCAACAGCAAGAGGGCTACGGTATGATGGGCCCCGACGATATGGGTTTCAATAACATGAATCCCAACAATTTTCAAGGGCCACCGGGTCCTATGTACGGTCCTGGCCCGAACTTTCAAGGGCCCAGAGGTGGCGGCCCGATGCATGCCAGGGGCAGAGGCGTCCCTGGACCTGGTTGGTACAGAGGCGGTGGGGGACCACCCGGAAGAGGAGGATGGAGGGGGGGCGGCGGCGGTGGTGGATGGAGAGGAAATGGAAAACAGCCACCCGTGTGTAGGCAATTTTCGAAGAACGGTTACTGTCGGGTCGGTGACAAATGTCAATATCTACATCCCGGTGTAAATTGTCCACCATTTTGAACGAAACTGACACAGTGAATTAGTTCAGAACTTCCGCAGCCGCGTGACATGAACATGCATTCTGCTTGATATGAATTAATGAACAATGAGCGAGAGTGCCCCGAATGGTTGATCATGTTCGATAGGAGACTCGCGTTCGAGAATCGATGATGTGCAATTTTTTATTGATAATGAAATCAAAAAAGATGAAGCACCAGCCATTTTCACAAAATGTAAACGATTCACTTTACTTTGAATAGTCTAAGAAGAAAGCGCGATAAATTTATTTTTCATGAATAATACTCAAAAAGATTACCAATATTTTACACTACTTTAAATCTGAAGGGACAATGTAAAGACAACTTTATTCATCTGCTGGGCAGAAAAACCGACGTTATTTCATTCAAGCATAATTTCAAGTAGATCTTTTTAAAACGATTTGAAGAACATCGAACATGCTTTTATTCTTCTTAGAAATTTTGATTCAATTCAGACCGATTCAATAAAATCTTAATTGAAATGTCTTCCCATTTAAGTTCGCGATTTACAGGCATTAACCACTGCCGACAAAATATGGTTGATTGTATATACGTGAAGAAACAAGGGTCACCGCGAGTTTTAATCTTATTGGCATGACGATTAACGATTTCAAAGTGTAACGACGCTGACGAAATATGAAGTGAACAGGAACTCCAGTTTAAAGAGCACTGCTTTTACAGATTGTCAGATGGGTATTAATCACTTTCATACTAATGAATTATATAATTCAGATACTGTTAACATGAATCGGGCATATTACGACGGAACAGAACATTGTAACACCAAAAGTTCAAATAACGAGTCAAATAACTTTTATTAAATTAAGATATATTACGTTTAGTCATCTACTGTAGATTGGTTGTAAATATCATACATATAATACTTGTATCATTTTGTATAAAATCTCGCTAGCTCTAATAACAAGAGACTGTTTTAGGCTTAAACCGTACATAATAATATAAAATGAAAGCAACATTTTTTAGTAAACAGAAATGTGTATCCGTAATTTGAAGTATGTAGTTAAAGCGTACCGCGATCGAGTATTTGCAGAGCACATTTTCACCTTATAACTTTGAACGTGTGCTCGATAAAATGTATCTCTAACGTTATACTATATCATTGTGTTAAATATTTTTTACGAATTAAGGGTAGTGGTTATTTTTTTTGTATATGATTGATCGTTATGTTTGTATATAACATTGATTGTTGTATAAGAATTGCTTGAAGGAATACATAAAGTCATACCTATTTTCTAAAATATGCAGCATTACTAGCTCAATTACAGAAAGCTATCCTTTGTCTTTATCATTTCACATTCCTTCCTGGCTTACCATAAAATATCTTAATAATGTCCACTCCTATATGTTCTTGAATACTTGATTATCAATATATTAGTATTAAATATATATTTATTATTTATAATTTAAGTATACAATGTACACATTAGGTATATATATTATGTTTTACAATTAGTTTGTAGCAATTACAATTTCAATATCGATTATCGACATTCATTACTAGGATGAGCAGTCACCAAGTACCCCGAGAAATTTAAATACTATATAACATGTCGTAAATCATAATTTTACATTGATCTAAGTTCATTTGAATTGTTGTGGTGGAGGACCAAAGATACTTCCACTCTGTTTGCTTGCAGTTCTAGAAGGAGCAAATCCAAGCATCTTCTGAATATTCTGCAATAAATAAAGATTCTTGAATATATGTAAGAAGCAAGAGTAAAAAATTATTGGAATGTGTAAACATACTTGTCGGATACTCATGGTGCACAGTATGTACAAAAAGATGAATGAACATTCTGTATAATCGTCTCCAGGGAGATTCCTATGGGATAAGCCTTGTATCCAACTAATTGGCACAAAAGGTAGCCTGGCAACGACTCTACCATCAAAAATACTATTGAACATGCTTAGGAGAGCTGTAAATGCAAATCCAATTGCAAACATGGATTTCATTTTTACTAGAGATAAATCTCTATTGTTATTTTTCAGCCTTTCTTCCTCTCTCTCAATTTTCTTCTTCTGTTGCTTATCCAGTGAATCTCCATGTGCTTCTTTTCTTTTTTCCACTAAATTTTATTCAATTGTATTAATAAAACAAACACAAGAAATTAAGTACTTTTACCAATAGTTGTATAAACACTCACATTTTTTACTTTGTTTCTCTACCTCTGCTTTTAACTTTTGATATTTTTCTGTTCTATAAACCATTAGCCACGTTAAACCTGTGAATGTTAAGAAAATTAATTGATAAAGACGTAACCTTAAAAATGATAACAGTTGAGAGGAACCAGTTACCTTCTCCTAATAAAGCTGTACAAATACTAATAAATACTATTAAAATTGTGTCTGCCCACATGTTGACACAAAAATTTACTAAATATTGTTTAGACTATTCGAACATATGAACCGACTCTTGAAAACACACTCCTGCACAGCTGCACAGTCCGTATGTCATTCTCTACTCAACGAGATTGAAAGATATTTGCTATGAACTACTGTGAATGGGTATGAAATTAACATGTAATTTTCAACATTACCCCTGTTTTATATTATAGTTACGTCAACTTCAAAATTTGTATTTAATGAGACATTGTTCACAAAATTTATTGTTAACTCTATAAAATATTAAAATAAGTCTTTTCCAAAAGTCTCATCGCATATATCTCCTGCAACGAAAACTATATAAAACAATGAATCTCAAAGACAATAATTTTCTTTATTGTCTTATCAACACTTATGTCTAGTACGATACAAATTTAATACAATAAATGTATGCATAATACATTGCCTCGCGATTCAAATGATATGCGTGACACGAGATGCTATATGCTATATGTATAATGTGGCAATAATGGGATCTGCGCACATGAATCGTGGAAAAGTAGGATACGTATTATTATATACTATAATATCAAGATTGTTTATTCGCAGTTACGTGTTCAGAATAGCTATAAATGAAGAGGGTACCTAATTTGTCATAAAGACCCGAGAGACCCTTTTATGATCCTTCTTAAAGGGTGCCCATAAAACTAGCCACTTAATTTTACCTGAGATAGAGCCAGATTATGGTCCTTCATTGTATGAAACAATTTTTAATTATGAAAGTCAGGTATAACTTTCTGATAAGCTTAGATTTCGAATGGTCAAGGTAAACTTCGATACTGTAAATATTGGAACTGATTAGGAGATACTGTTAAAGAGTTTGATAAGTCTTCGATACAGAAGGAATCAACTGTTCCTCGACGCATAAATGTTTTCAAATGCTTCCTGGGATGATATGCAATAAATAAATTTCGATCCATTTGCTTCGTTCCTTTTCCACGTGGATCGATCTTATCCTTTTTCGTATCTTATTCTCTCGCTGTCTGTCATCGTTCCTTGTATTTCTCTTCGTTCCTCTCGAATCGTTTTACCTTCCTTTTCTCTCGTCCATCTTCCATCCCTGTCCCATCCTTTCCCCCTCTTTCTCCACCATCCCTTTCTCCGATGCTCCCACCACCAGCCGCCACCATCACCGTAATTCTTTCTCTTCTCTATATGAAATTCTGTCTCCGTCTCCTAACTTCGGTCTCTGTTCTCTCGCGGATGCTTCACGTGACCAGAACGGTCTATTGATTCTTGGAGGATTGTACATGCGCCCTCGTCCTCACGATATCTGCTGCCAAGGGGGTAAGTACGTGATACGCTGGAAACACTGCTCCGAGTTCCGTTCGCCAACGGCGGAGACGCATACGGGGCTGTAATCGTGTATAGAGACGAAGGGGTGAAACGAGGAAGAGGATAGGAAAGGGGAGCTACGCGCTCGTGACAAACGCAGTATCGTCTCGTGTGGTGCTTGTGAACGATCACCGTTCATCGTTATGATTATCATAGTTAACGCCAGGTACATCTATTTCTTTATTTTCTCTCCGGGATATTGCAGTCGAACACTTGACTTGTTTACATGTTTAATATTACATACGTGATTTTCCAACAACTCTGTTGTTTCGTACTTGAGAACCGTCATGATGGAATGTAAAAAGTTAAGAACCACTCGGTGAGTTAAAGGAAAGTGCAAGTTTAAAAGCAACCTTTTTTAAATAACCTCAAATTACATTTCGGACTACGATGTTACAATAAAAATACAAAATTAATAGGCAGGCGGGCGAAAACTACTTTTTCGAATATCTGTAAATCCAACTTTTTGGAGAATTTTCGTGTACAGAGACTCATCGATTGAAAAGGTTTCTTGGCTACTACATAGTCAATTTATTTTTATGTATTCTTTTTTTTATTATTTAACGCTTGCACTTGTACACATTAGTGTTTTTTAATTGAGTGGTAATCAACATGCGAACGTTCTTGCGTGTGTTGCTAACGTTGGAGTATCAAAGGTGGTGGTTCAGGAACATTTACCCGGTTTCTCAAATATATCCGTAATCCGAGTTTATATTCGAACCAGGTGAATCGCGTAGGCAGCCGGGTGCTTCTATTCCCGTTTCACTGTAGTTTCTACACCAAAAGTAAACAATGCTATAACGACGACGACGACGACGACGACGACGTGTCGCGTTGCACGTTTCTCTGTTACAATGACTCGTGTCATTTTACCGTACTTCTTCTGAACATCGGCATAACAATACACCGTTTACGTTAACTGAAATATTACCTTATATCCCCCTCTTATTCAGTTGCTGCGTAGTGAAATGCTCGTTCCATTGCACCCGTGTAAATAATCGATCGTTCGTGCGATCAATGGAAGTTTATAAAAAGCAGTTTGATCACGACATCGCAATAGCTAGCAAATTTTCATCTTTCCGAGCCATTGTCCTTTCGTATTTCACGAACAAATTTTTTATTCTCCGTGTTTCATATTACCTGTGCTCATTTTCCTACTCATTTTTTAATCGTGAAAGCGTCAAACGCAACATTCTTTTAAATAGGAAGCTTAATGCTTCGTAGACAAACGAAATATACACAGAACCAACGACGAATGAAGATGTTCGTCCAGATATTCGCGTCCATTCGATATCGAAGAAAATTCTAGATTCTAGAGCAAGAACCGTTTTCCTCCTTGTTCGCTCAAAGATGACAAGTAGCAATTTACGTTTTCAATATGAAATGAAATTCTTTATAACTTTCACATTGCAGGACTGTATGAATTTTTAGTTTAATGATAATCAATGTACGTATGCGTACTTATATTTTTGCACACAAATCCATAGTTTAAGTGTAATTTTACATAATAGATATTATCCTATGTGTCGTTGAAGAGTGTCGAATATGTTGATCAAGATAAGAAAAAAATTCGCTGCTGGACATGTGGCTGATTCTTGGCCGAATTTCCGTATATGTAAAAGAAAGACGGACACAGCATGATCGAAATGTTTGCTCGTCTTGGTTTCAGAAGGCTAGAATAAAAGTTTAAAGGAGACAACACGTGGGCCATGCCAGGAGCAGAAACAGAGTGGTGACCTAAAACTCATCCTCGGCACTGACCCTCGATGCTTACGCTACGGCTGGTGTCGACTCATTTCTTGAAGCAGCCATAGGCAGTGCCCTTCGCCTTAGAGAAAGGGCTCGATGCGATGTGCCGTGATAGGGACATGAACCCAAAACTAGTCGAATTAAATGATCTCTTTTTAATGTCATATTGGTTGCCAACGTCGGTTTAAAAAGTTGCTCGAGAGAGTTCTGTGCGCGCGCGGTAAACACACGAAGGACCTATATACATATATGTACTTCGCCCCCAGTCTCTTGTCTACATCGAGAATTTCGCGTTTATACCCGTCCCTTTCTGATTTTCGTCATTCGTTTACACCCCACGCGTCGTTCCTTGCCCTCTTTGTTCGTTCGGTGACTCGAGGAATCAAAGTGATCGTAGATTAATAACGTGATAACGAGCCCAACGAAATCATTGCCCCGTGCAAGATTACCGCACGAGAGAGTGACTTAACGAAACAAACACAGTGATATAAATGAAGAAAAAGATCGATGTTCATTAAAGTTAGCATCGTTGGATAAGATATCCTGCTCTACTTATCTTCGTGTGCTCGAGGAAGACACACGAGAGCACCTTTTCATCTAACACACCCCTGGCAAATAGATTAGAAGGAAGAACAAACAAAAGCAAGAGGAGGTCATTCGAAGTAGCATTCAGGCTGAACACTATTTACCTAAACCTGTGGAAGGTTGCGAGAGAGTGCATTGTAAGTCCCGTTTGTAATAAACGTTTGTAAGTGTTCGTGTCGAACTGATTGTCGACAAAATCGCCAACAAGAATGATACAAAAATGTCATTGATCGTATCTCGGACATTGAAGACAAATATATATATCGCGATACACCCAATCGAAGATTGTCATTCTTGTTTGCGAAGTGGAATAATGTTTATATGCATGTTAGATTTATTTCAAGATTTTTCATTTGCACACGAAGTAAATGATGCCTCGTTCGATTATTTAGTTGAATAAAAAAATAGAAAAATGGGGGTTTGTCAATTTGATCAGTGCGGCGGCGGTGGCACGCGGTGTAGACAAAGTGGGATGAGACGTCCTCAGCAAGAACACCATCACCATCTCCACAATAATCATCACGATCATTATCAACACAACCACTATCATCATCATCATGGATCCTCGACAAGTCCTACGCGTTGCCGACAAGGCCACGAAAAGGTAATTGCTTTCATTGGCAGTACATTTATAATAATTAGCGAATAGATATCATAATGGATGAAAGTTGATCTTTTCGAAGGACGAGTCACGTTTAGCAAAAGTGAAACGCGTTCTGGCAGTATCGTTGCTGGGCCGTAACGCAGGATCATCGAGGGTTTTTGGCGCTCGATTAGATTCGATCGAGCCATACCTCGACACCGGTGTGCCCTTCGTGGTGCACCGGTTATGCAGTTACATCGAGAATTATGGATTTCAAAGCGCAGCCGTGTTTCGTCTCTCGGGTGGAAGCCCGAGACTGGCGGAAAGGTTGAGGGCTACCTTCGAGAGAAGAGGAGATGCCGATTTGGAAGCTGCTGCTTGTCCTCCAACTGCGGCGACGCTTCTACGGCAATACCTGAAAGAATTGCCCCAACCCGTCGTACCATCATCGCTTGTGGCTAGATTATTATCCGTTCATGCTCGTAAGTATCTAATTACATATTTATTGCCCCAGATTTATTTCGCTTCCTATAATACGCCGGTACCTTGAACATTTTGTTCCCAGAACATTACGCTAACGATCATGACCATTGGATCAGTTTAACGAAAGAACTTCTGTCGACTCTACCAACTTCTCATTACCGTTTGCTTGGTTACTTGATTCTGTACTTAAGCAAATATGAAGCTAAACACGGACGTAGCGCCGGCGTTTGCGGTGTGTTTGCCCCTGTGATTCTACCTCATGTTCCACCCGCCACTACTCTTCTTCGCGACATCTTGGCCGAGGCATCTGCACTCTTTCCGAATTGGTAAGTTGCACGACTATACGGTTTTTCTATTGGCATGAAGCATAAAAATGTTTAAATCGATGTCGCAAGTACATAGTATGTTGCGACTGTTGATTGATGCTCAATTTAGATCCAATTACTAACTATAAGCTTGCATACACGAAACCCTGTTACATAATTCAACTATATGTACTTTCGATCGAGATCGATTAAACATGCAAGCTTAAAATACGTATCTTTAGATAACGTTGATAAAATGATTATGAAACAATTATGAGATCAGTTGTTTTCACACAGTCATCCCAGCAAATGAAATTGATTGCTCTGGCTTGAATTACGTATTAGCACGTGCTAAATGGCCTAACTCTAGTTCGCTCGCGTGCTTTGTTCAATTTCCTGTCGCTCCACGTACGAATAGGTACGATCTTTCTAATGTACGTATAAGTACAGTCGTAATATTTTATATAGAACTTTTAAATTAAATACTTTGCTTCCTTTTCAAAATATTGCATATCCAAATGTTATTGAAAAATTTTTGATAAAATCAATATCGTTCATTTCTTTTATAGTTGACACACATTTTTGTAATTTGAGAGGATTAAGACTCTTTCGTAGTTCCATATTCTCGAATATCAAGCTGGCGTTAATCTGTATTAATTTATTCCACTTCCTATTGCGGTCATGAAGCGGTCCTTGACCTCATTGGAATTATTCAACATTGGCGAATGTTCTTGAAAGCACAGTCAATACTTCCTTTCGTTCCATACTTATTTTTCGATTAGCGTTCAAGGCGTGTGTTCCTGCATAGCAATAAACACCATATGTTTACTACATAGTTACGTATGTATACATATACGTTTCGACCGATCTTGGCGCTTCCACTTATTGTTACGACTCGAGAACGAGGTTCGCAATTAATTAATCTTCTAATTCTTTTATTACTAATTCTTATGAGCATGATTAATATCTTCTATTACTTGTTTATTAAAATATTATTAATAATTGTTCGGGATCGTATTAAGATTGTATTTGGAATAATTATCTAATATGCAGTTAATAGTACATACATATTATGCCCGTGTGTTGTCTCTGATTCGCGACAATTCGATCATCGATATTGTCGTCGGTATGCTATGTACGTGATAGAGAAAGCATTTGTACGTATAGTATCGTGTTCAATAGCTAGCAACGTGCCAATGTACTCTCACTTTCTATATAAAAAAAAGAACCAAACTGAAGATGTTTTTAAATGTTTCATTCTTGACATGATTTATGACAGAACCAATGTTTATTTGTATCGGGTTGGCATATTCACAGGAAATATTCTTATCCAAATTTAAAAAATTGTATATCTCGTGTATTTATGCTTTGACTAGTATAGTAGTATGAATAGTATCGTTCGTATTTCATTTAATAAGATTGTTTTCTTGACTTCGCACAATCCATCGATTCTTTGTAGAAAGGTTTTAATACATAGCATCCTGCGAAGTAATTTTATCCAGATGTGTTGGCCAAAATTATTTTAACTTCGTCAACAACACGTAATTTCTGGATTTAGACCAAACCCGTCGACGCAGTTCACGTTATTTAACTAACAAGCTACTCTTTAACATGATAAAAATGAAGGATAACGCGTGGATATATTTTTAAACTCGCCGAAAATGTTTGACTGCTAATAAAATCTGTCGTAAACGATCGATCTTTAGACAAATTACATAATACAATTCACGCTTTGTTAACAGTCACTTTCTTGACTTCTCAATTATAAAAGATTTTTATGCATCGATCGGGTCTCATTTCGAGGTCAATTTTCAATAAACATTTTATTAATTGCATTACACACGGTCAAGGAAATTGTCTGTTCGTGCTGCTGGTTTATTTGCGCCCGAATCACAATGGATTGTGCGTATTCTTGTTGTCCTTGAAGTCTGTCCAAGATTTGTAGGCTACTCCCGTTTACTTTGAAGAAGGTCGATTTTTTTTTATCTCGACCAAGTAATAACTATTACTTACCAGTTGAGAAAAGATGCTGATCTACAAAAATATTAATGATAAAAATATTGTCTATCGACACAGAAATGATTACATATGCTTTAAGGATGTATTGGCTGTACAGTCAATCCCAAAAGTTTATGTATCTTAGAAAAACACATTTCCTA